ATTTGTCTTTAGGAACACAAAGGTAAGACATGCTGAATAATGACTTTTCTTTCATTCTGATTTTAATGTTTCCATGCTGCAAAGGATCTCAATTTTTGTGCAAAAGCTGAATATGGCTGATTTTTTTTTCTCTCTGCTTTGGTAATATACTTCATCAGAATTGAAAAGTCCAGTGCTAATGGATAATTTTCTTCTTTCTTTTTAAGTAACTGTAATCTCTCAAGGGAGACAAGATGTTCTGCAGGGATTAGTACTACTTCAAAAACCAATTTATTTTAAAATCTATGTAAATACATTTTAAACCTATTTTATATTATGCAGCTCTTGATGATTGCTATATCGGGTGATTTGTTTTCAAGGATTTTTGCAAGACTTTTTTTTTAAGGCATTAAAGGACATATTCCAAACAGGTCAGGCATTAAATTGCTTCTATGTAAGTGTTTCTCTTGGAGAAAGAGCTTTTTTTAAAACTTACATAAGTACAAAGCCAAAGTGGAAACTTGCATAGTTTTCCTCTTCTGCAATTTCTATAGTGCTCTTATTTTCCAAATACCAATTTTTTGCTCCATCCATTGAAATAACAAACTGCACAACTTAAATTATAGTACTAAGTCCTGAGGAAACTTAGTTTTCTCTAAGAATATTTAAAGTATTTTTTAAGGCTGCTTTGTCTGATTTTTTTTTTCTTGCTGTACTTCAAGGAATTACTTTAGATTCAGATATTTTCTAGCTTGTCTTAGTAAGGATGCAAAATATTCTTAGTCCTGGAAAGAGAACAGATGCCTATTTTAGCTTTAAACACCTGTAGTCTGAGCATCTAACATGCTTAGTAGGTCACCCAATTTCTTTTGCTTTGTTAGGCCTTTTTAATTATATAGTTGGTGACCATCCTTTGCAGAGAGTGAAGACAAAGGAATTGGTTAAGATTTCAAGCTGCTTGGAATTTGCAGAAAGACTTTACTAGCTGGAGAAACTGCTGCTTTGTGCTTGTAGTAGATGGAATTTGTAAATCCCAGCAGCCTGGCTCCCAGATGTTGACTGTATAACCTTAGCATGCCAGCAGACAATAGCACAAACTCAATGTGGTATTAGACCACAGTATCAGTATTCTTTGTGTTAGCTGTCCTGAGTAGCAAATAAACTCGGCTCTTCCAACACCACAACTGTGCAGGGCATGTTCTATTTTAATATGTTTGTGTCTTGTGCTCAGAAGAAAAGGCATTGGGTCAAGGTGATGGGAGTCTAGAGAAAGATTTAAGATTTAAGAAAGATCTAGGGTTTCTGTGTCTGGTATAAAGCACCACAAGATCAATAAACCTGGTAATTTATGTTCTAGAAATGATCATGAGATGTCCCATTCCACTCCCCTACCACTCTCCTCCCGGTTTCTCCCTTTTTTCCAAAAATTGCTGATTAGTCTCAATTGCACTTAAATCTATTACGAACTATACTTAAGTATAGATTATTTAAAAAAATAAATGTGATTTCTTTGGCATTTTTAGGAAAATCCATAAATTATAGAAGAGTTAAAGATGAGGAAAGACTTTTCTACTTCTCACAAGTTTGAGGTAGAGCAAGGACACATATAAGCCATCTTGAAATAATATAAAAGGAAAAAGTTTATGCATAACATAATATAACAATTTATATATCATTATATAAAAACGTATTTGTATAATATATTAAAATATAATAAGTAACAATCTAACAGGAAATGTGGATGGAACAAAAGAGGAAAAAGAAGAGTTCTGTAGTTACTAGGGTAATAGAGTGAGAAATTATAGTTGCCTTAAATAAGGGAAACAGAATGTCTTACAGCAACATTTCTTGCTATGAAGAAAACTATTTGCAATTCTGAAGAACCCTTCTGTGATTAGCACTTTTTCCTGTTTCAGGGCCTACAGGTCAGCTCTGGAATATACCAAAAGAAGCCTTGGAATATTTATAGATCTCCAGAAAAAAGAGAAGGAGGCATATGCTTGGCTCCGGGCAGGAAAGATATATTATGTTCTGAGGCAGAACGAGCTTGTGGATCTTTATATTCAGGTACATTGTCAACACTTACAGGCATGCACATGGTATCAGTGTTGCGCAGATGGCATGGTAAGAGTAATTAGATATAAAAATTCCATAGATTTTGTCAATTGATGTTCTGATCACTTAGTGCCAGCATTCATGTAATGCTCAGCAGGTGAAGGGAAAGTCTCAGCATTTTCCACTGCTAATCCATTTTAATCTGTTTCTTGATTTTGGAAGGACTTTGGGCAGTGACCTTTCTTAGTTGCTGTTAATTCTGTGTGTTCCTTCAACACCATTTACCAGCTCTACAGCACCACAGCAATTATATGACACAGGCATGCTACATGCTGCTGGGTGACAGAGAACAATCACTTTAGCACACTGGCTTGTGGGCCAAATTCCCAGGAAAACAGAGTATCTTCTTTAAGAAGCACTTCCACAGCATCTGAATTTTTCCTTCTGTGGCCATGCCTCGTATGACATGGAGCCAGCTGGAGCTGCTGTTTTCTTTTCACATGTGGGAACAGAGTCACACGTCTTGCACACCTCTGTGCTCAAGTAGAAAGAAGGACTTGTATTAACTGAATGCAATTTGAGAACTAAAGAAGACAAAGCCAGAGCAGGATTTTTAACCTTGTCTAATGTAAAAGGCACATTTTCATTATTATTTTCTCTGTCAGTAACTGAGGATCCTGGCATTCTTGCTTTGCATGCTCTGTCATTAAACCCTTTTTGCTAACAAGACATGTATTTATTCATGAGAACAGGATAGTAGATCTGCATTTATTTAGAGAATTCAGTTCACAGGCTTTTAAATCTGCAGTTAGCAATATCTAACTTGCAGTTTGAATTTATTTCCATGATATGTTTGATCTAATTCAAATTTACTATGTGGCAGCTATCAAATACACTGTTTTTAGAATGTCATGTGCTGGCAAAGACAGCAGGATACTATTGCCAGAAAAAGGTAACCAGGTTTTTGTTTCTTCTTCAGCACCTGCCACTGGCTTGTTCAAAGACAGGGTACCAAAAAGGAGCATGTTCAAATCAAATATAGCCTTTTTCATCATTATAATAGGAGAGAAAATAAAAAGATCTTTTTAAAATTGCTAATACTTATTTTTTAACAATTGAGTAAACAAGATTTTAATTTCTTTCTTTCCTTCCCCACTCCTTTTTTACTTTTCAGGTTGCTCAGGATGCTGCTCTTTGCACAGGAGATCCAAATTTACGAATGGAATTGTTTGAAGCTGCTGGAGACATATTTTTCAATGGTACTTGGGAAAAGGAGAAAGCAGTGACTTTCTACAGGGTTTGTGCAGTTTTTCTGCTGCATTGATAGTTATGTAACTCCTACCATAGCAGGTATTCTACAAATGCTGAACCAAAAGCTGAACCTCTCAGAAAATTTTTTATAAACTAGTGCAGCTGAGTACTTTTCATGCTGTTAGTAGATATCACTTGTTTCAAATCCACTTCTGGCTGCAAGAACTGTTCTAAGCAAAGAGCAAAATGAAACCAGGAATTACTTGATTTGACATAAAGGAGAGCCTGTCAGTGCACATCCTGGGCTTCAGCCATACCCAAGCTGCTGTTGTGTGTTTCAGGACAGGGCTCTCCCGCTTGCTCTTCAGACTGGCAACAAAACCACTGAACTCAGATTATGCAATAAATTGGTGGAATTGCTGATGAATCTGAAGGCTTATGAGGAAAGTCTGGAATATGCAAGAGTAGCTCTCGTCCTCAGTGTAAAATTGGGTAAGGACAATTTCCATTATAGCTGAGTATAAGTGATACCTCTAAAAATACAAAAGAACTCTAAAGTTTTCTTCCCTTGTTCAGTCATCTCTTGTCAGGATTTCATAACACTACTATAATTGCTATTTTTTGCTTCTAATTCAAGAATGAGGAATTTATTGCTTACTCTTCAGCTTAAGCTCAAATGGAAAACCTGTGGTAGAGCACAGAATCAAAGCTGGAATTTTATGTCCAAACTGAATGTGCTTCTAAGAGTCAAGATACAATACTCATGAATAAAATAGTCCTAAGAGGCTTTTGAGAGTGCTTTCAGATTTGCCCAAAGATCTGATTGTGAACCAACATAAGATGGAAAAATCAAAAATCGTAGGTCTTGTTTCAAAATTACTATTCTTCAAGTTTGGTAGCTGTTCAACTGATTAAGAACCTTCTTAACCCTCTGTACAAGCACAGACAGGTCATTTTGATCATTTGAAGATGAAAATAATATTTTTGTTGTAAATTTTAATGTAAAATATATATTGGAATTGGCATGGGAGACTTTATTCCCATTAACTTTCTTCCTTTCATAATAATCCATTTGTATTCTTTGTAAGTATGCACTCTGTGTATTATAATTTATACATCAGAGATTAATGTAATTATTTCTTAACGTTCCAGGCACTGTCAAATCCTATGGGAGGAAATTCAGAAATTCCATAGGATTTTTCTTGAATGGCAGGCTTTGACCATGTATCTCTTAAGCAAATGTAGGTTTTTTTTTCAATAAAAGCCCAGCAGCAAATTCAATATAGATTTTTTTTTTTTTAAGTAGCATATATTTGAGTACTTTGTCTCTCTGTTTTTCTCCTGACTCCTATGTTATCTCATTAGGAAATCATCTAAATGAAAGAATAGCTTACCATCGCCTGGCAGCCATCCATCACCATTTGGGTCACTGTGAACTAGCTGAACATTTCTATTTAAAGGCCTTGTCCCTCTGTTCCTCTCCTCTGGAGTTTGAGGAAGAAACACTCTATTATGTCAAGGTGTACTCGATCTTAGGAGATATTATATTCTATGACCTTAAGGTAAGAAATTTTAACAACTTGTATAGCAAATTTTACTATTTAGTAATATCTCATAAAATCAGATTTTGCCATTTTCTATTTTTGTGTGTTTGGAATGTAAAGTGAGAAAACCTCAAAAACTCAGAATCTATATTATTTTTATTAGATACTTACAAACCTGCGCTCTGCAGTCCTCTTGCACTGGTTGTATTATCTTTGAGCCTCTTATTTCAGGACCCCTTTGATGCAGCTGGTTATTACCACTTGGCACTCGCTGCTGCCATGGACCTGGGCAATAAAAAAGCTCAGCTGAAGATTTACACCAGACTTGCTGTGATCTACCATAACTTCCTTGTGGATCGTGAAATGTCTCTCTTCTTCTACCAAAAGGCAAGAACCTTTGCAACAGAGCTGAATGTAAGGAGAATAAATTTAGCTCCTGATCAATATTACAAGAGTTCATAAGCATTTTTGGAAAATGTAGCCTACCTACTGCAGAAGTACCTATGGAAATACTGCACTGGCTTTGTAGGAGGATGCAGGTTGCATTCAATGACTCATTATCTGTGTGCTGTAAAGTGGAGCTCCTCATCCCAGACTAAATTACCAGTTTATATGACAGTGAATTACATTTCATTGTCTTTGAGATACAGTCTTGTACTTGTTCAGGATCAGTCTGTGAACTAAAACCAAAACTCAACAGTCTCTTTTTTAAACTACAATTTTCTTTGCTATATCTTTGTCTTGATGGATATTGGAAAATGATTAATGCATAGATGCAATGAAAAATATTTAATAAAGTGTCACAGCAGAAAAACCGCTCAGTATGAATTGTGGCTTCCTTTCCCTGACTTAGCTTTATTACATTTTTTGACATCAAGTAAATGCATTTGCACAAGCATGCTAGATGGGCTTGAGAATTGGTTTGGCCCAGTTCCCCAGACACCACTCTTCATTTTCTGTCAAATTCATCTGCTGCAGCACTTATGGGAACTAACTTTATCTTCCAATTCAAGAAAACTTACATACATATTGTACTAAGAACCAATGAGTTTGTAGAACTGAAGGCTCTCATAATGTGAGTAGTAGTTTTGTGGATTTCAGTGGTCATGTGAAGGCCGTCCTTCCCTATTTTCTAAGTGAATTTAAGTGCCCTTTTCAGAACTGTCACTATTGGCTGCAATTTTAAAAGTTTTCCTACTGTGTTACATAGAAGTAAATATTTTTTCAGAAAAATGTATTATTTCACTTTAATTACAAAAACATCCAGATTGTTAATTTTGATACTTCTAAAACTTTGTGTCTCAATATTTTTTGTACTGAAGCTATGGTAGAAATAACATATTAGATCATATTCAGATTCATTTTGAGTTTATGCCTTTTCATTCTCTCAAGAACTCTCTACAGAAACTGCTGATTTATATTTAAGGGATATCACAAAGAATGGAAGTATGGATGTTTTTGGAAATTGCACATTCAGTCTCAGAAACCAGATGGGGCTGTTGGCTACATATTATGCTTGTTTCTATTGTCAAGTCTGGGAAAAGGTAAAAAACATACAATTTTTTTTTTCAGAACTCCATAGCTATGTAATCTCCTTGCCTTGGTTTTTTGCCTAAGAATCTTTTTTCCCTTAGATCTGTCATTCAGAGCATGCTCTGAATTCTTCCTATATATACATTCAGGTATCTGATTTTTGTTGTCTTTTTGACCTTTATAGATATAATACGCATATTACATATCTATGTCTGTATATATAGATCTAGATATAATTGAGATAGTATCCAGGGAAAGGGGAAGTGCATCTTTTTCCTTGGTCTTCCCCTGGTCTATATACAGATAATTGCCACTATCTTGATAACTGTGACCTTTTAATCACCTTGAAGCTGTGTGGTGACTTAACTAGTCAAGGTAACTCCTGGTCCTGCTCTTAGTTCAAGGTCCAGAAATTAAAGTGGCATTTGAGATTAAACACTTTGTATTTGCTATTTCTAGAAGGCTCTTTACACAATAAGAATTTTGTTTGCTTGTTTTCTCTTCTGACACTGTAAATTTGAAAGTTTTAGTGTAATGGTGTCTTAGGAATGACTTGATGAAAGATTCATGCTGGTGTCATACTGTCCCATTAAGCATGGGAAATTAATTATCCCGCATGCTTTTGACCTGAAAACTCAACAGAAGTCCTGTATGATCCCTTCAGAGCTGTAAAAATTGCAGATGCTGCTCTTTGTTCATTAGTTTGCTTTTCTGTGCTTGACATTCTATTTTCCATTTCATTTGGTTTTCAGACTAGCTAAATTTATAACCTCTTGCTGATTCTGATTGCTGTAATCATAGGCTGTCTCTGTATTCTGGGAAGGGAAGCTGCACTTTATCTGGAATTCAATTCTGCTGATAAGACCTATCTTCTTTCTTGCATGGCTACTTCATCTTGTTGCCTTGATTCCACAGAATTCTTGCTTTCATAGCAATCTTGTTCTACATTATTAATTTACCCTTTAGTGTTAAACTGTGCTTAAGAGTGGAATTTCTTGACCATTCCCTTGAAGGCAGTAAAGCAGTATATAAAAATGTATCTGGTTTTTGGAAAGGCAGGATCTGAATTCTCCCCTTGCTCTGGTGACACGGGAATTCTGTTTTGCTACTGTATGTGGTTATAGTACATCACAGGCAGAGGATTTCAAAGAACAGCATTTCTATTATGTATATAAACGGCATGTTTAATTTTAAAAACCTGCTTCAAAACCTGTTTGATCTTTAAATACATCTTTTCCTCCAGGGAGCACAATATTATTTTATGATTCTGAATCAACAAATACAATTAATGCACTTGAACAGCAAATCTGTAATTTAAGAGTTCTGTGAGGAACTGAATTTGGATAGAAGGATTACACTGATAAGTCCTATTCATCCAGTTGGGAGTGGTAGGATTCATCTTCCCTGCAGGAGACACCTGTTAGGTGGCCCTAGTCTCTCTAGCATCAGAGAATGGTCTGCAATGTGGAATTCCAGATAAGTGAGAGATGAATTTTACCTGATGAGCTTCCTGGCTCAAGTCTTTATTGAACAGAAATCTGATTATTATAAAACTGTTTTCCCATAGCTCTTATGTAAACTATCAGCTTTAGCCAGATATCTTCCAGCATAATGAAGCAAAAAGGCTGAACAGCATGGAGTCTAGATAGCTCCTAGAGAGGGGACAGAATCATGTCTCTGCAAAGTCTGTTTGTTAGAAAAGGTAGTGAGCAATGGGATGTTTGAATGAAAAAGGCTTCATAGGAAGTGCATGAAGATTCAGAGGGCTTCTACCCAGAATGAGTTTTGTAGCTGATTAGCAGCAAATTTTGAAATACCCTTAAGGAGCCAAAAAGCTCTGCTGAGCTGTTAAAAACTCTGTAGGAACTGACACACTGTAGGTATTTCTGCTTGATTTGAAATAACAATATTCTGCTTCCTGAACTGGCACAAACTGGTGCCTGTGAGCAGCTCCATGTGTAGAACCTTGTCAGATACAGAGCCAGAAGCTTGTGGTGTTTTCTCATCCAGAAATGACACATTCCCAAGTATCACCCCTTAATTTTTAAAATGGGATTGAAGAGAAAGAAATTGTAGTGATGGTACCATGGTACAGAATACTTAATTACTGTAAAGGATGTCCTCTTGTAGAAGCTCATGTTTCCAAAGAGGAAAATACATAGTACACTGCCCTTCAGGCAGTGAGAGGACTGTCCTCCCCCTCTCTCCCTGTTCAATAAAAAGACATTCCAAACTCTGCATGTTCTGTGTGTGTCTGTGCAAGGCAGGGCAGTTCTGTCCCCTCTCATGGATAAGCAGTTCACTTTGGAGTAATAGATGCCAGGGCTACACGTCCCTATGTTTGCAGCTTTGGCCTGCTTGGAGAAGTTGAGCCCCCTTCACGTTTTTCCAGGACCCTGAAGCCCTAATTTGGTCTGAGCCCTAATTTGGTCCGAGCACTCCGTGCTTTGCGGGAGGAGCCCCAGCCTTGGCCAGCCGAGCGCCTCCGGCCACGGGGTGGCAATGTCTCACTTCGCATCGCTGCCCGCCCGCCCGCCAGCTAACAAAGGACTCCGATACTTGGAAAAGTATCCCACTTTCTCCAGTATCCTCTCCATCCAGCTAAAACTTCTTAAAACAAACCAAAAAACAGCCCTAGCAACCCCACGACTCACTGAAATAAACCCTCTAGAAACGGATGAGTTAAAACTCCTTAAGACCCTTTACCATGGCAAGCAAAACAGAGCTTTCACCAGTCAGCATCTATTCCAAGGGAAATACACTAAGAAAGCCAAAGAGCATTTGCAGAGAGCAAAAAGAATTTAAGATAATCATTCTAAGCTACTTTGAAATGCCTTTAACTGATTTATCCACAATCTAGAGGAAGTTGGCTGCTGTGAGGTGCTATGCAGATTGATTTTGTAACAGGCAAACCGCTGTGCAACTGAAGGGTACTGTGGTAGAGAAGAAACCTGCTGCATGAGGTTGGATGCAGGTACGTGGTCAAAACTCTTGGTCTTCTTTTTAAGTAAGGTCAACTTTTGACATCTACTTGTTTTTCCAAGAGAAATGCTCCAAGAATTCTTTGTATGAGCCTGGTGCTACAGTCTAGGCAGTGACATTCAAAATATCTAACCTAAGGAACCAAGAACTTTTTCTGAAGTGGTACTAAAAATATTGGTACATATTATTATTATTGGTATAAGGAGATATTTTCCCAGTTAACACAAATTGCCTGGTTGGTGTTATTATCTGCTGAATACTCAGGAAATATTCCCCTAAATATTTTGCTCCTAATGCTTTGCTGCCTTCATTTGGTCATTTCAGATAATGAAGGTAAGAAAAACATTTAATTTCACAAATATCTGTCTTGCTCTGGCATTGGGTGGCAGGCTAAGTTGCCTTTGCACTGACATACTAAATGGATTGTATCTTTCCATGAAGAGGCAAATTAAACACAATTACTCTGACTTACAGTATTTTGAAACTTGTACGCCATTTAGATGCTGAATTACTCTAAGTGTTATGTGCTGGGAAACTCTCAAACCTTGTCAGCAGGTGTTTTTCCTGATGCAGCAGATGTATAAAATCTGTTAAAAGTAACCTTTCTTTGCCAAGCCAACAGAAGGGAATTTCACCATTGCATGGAAAATATCTAATTTTTTGGAAGTTGGAATGAGCATAATAAATGGAGTATTTTTGCTTTTCTAAAAATAACACTGGTTCTTTCTGAATCTTTCCTGAAGTATATTTAACATTGTGGGCTGGTATTA